TTCTTCCTGACGAGCGCAACGTTCGTACCCTGTTGGGTCTTCCGGAGCTAGGCTCAACGGGTGGGGTGAAACTCTAGACTGCACGCCCTCCCGAGCACTGGAGGGAGTGCCTTGGGCCACCAGAGGGAGAAGCTTACCTCTGGTGGTCCGAAGCTGGGGAGGAGCTCGCCCAGCCGTGAGACGAGGCTGTCACTGCAATCATGCAGGCAGCTCTCACCGCGTGCTTGGCAGGGGGAGAAAACTCACCCCTGGAGGCCATCGGCACAGGGTATCCCGCAGGGAGAAACTCACCCGCGGTTGCCAAAGATTTGCCGGGTTGAAATCTCTCCATCCACCATTACCCCTGCTTGTTGCAGGCGGTCGACATACCCTTGGCACTCCGAAGCAAGTCTGCGGAAGACCTTCGGAGCATCCTGCGTGACCTCAGAGCAGACGGTCCTGATCCAGTTGGCATGCATGGGGCACATTTTCTGCGCCAGTTTGTGGAAACCATGCCACTTTGCCTCAGGCTTCGCCTGACGCCTCCAAGACAAAAGGTCGAAATAGCGGAGCGCCGGGTAAGGCTCCGCCGTAGAGGCAACCTCCATACCCATATTGGACTCTCCCAGGTCCAAGAGGTGGAGGTTCTGGGTCCAAAGCCACGTGAGTATGCAGCCAACGTGGCACATGAACTTGAAGGAGAAAGTGACTCCCCTTTGCTCCATAACTTCCGCCGCCAACACCACTGGCTTTTGGCATAGGAGCGTCATTGGCAAGCGCTGTTCGCCTCCTTTGTCGCCGTGGAGAACGACCTCAACATCCTCCACCCAGAAAACCGGCGTAGCGATGCCTGGCAGGAGATTAGCGAAGACGAGCTCCTGTTTCTGAGGCTGTTCAGATAACTTGAGCACCAAGTCTTGGGAGGTGTACGCTACTCTGTCCTGGCCTTTGCCCAAAAACTCAAGGAGAGCTCCAGAGGGGCCGCCTTGGCACCATTCGAATCCCAAAGTTTTGGGAAGCGCCAGGAGATTGTTGCGCGCAACTCCTTGCACCACTCTCTTGCCATGAAGGGTGGGAAGCCCTCCCCCTTCATGAGCTCTCGGCCTTAAGCAGTCTTCTTTAGGCCCTTGCGAAGACTGTGACGCTTCAGAGCGTTGTTTAACTCTTCTCGCCCACGGTGTGCTGGAATCTGCCTCCTCCAGCTCTGCCTTGTCATGCTGCGTGAGGACTGGCACTTTGGCTTTGGCGAAAATAGCTTGGAGCCTTTCCTTGGAGCTCAAGGGGAGAACCTCACCCTTGGCTCCTGAACTGCCTTGGGGAGAAGACTCACCCTGGCTGTCTCGACCTACTGGCCTTTCTTTTAGGTGAACGCTGCCGGCCTGAAAAGGCTGTGCTGGGGGGAGAACCTCACCCCCAGTGTGTCCGGCCCCTGGGCCCTCCGTAAGCAACACCGGTTGCCTAGGCGGCGCCTTCGGGGGCGCCGGCGGCAGGACTGCTGGATTGCCCAGGCTGGCAGCAGGGACCGCCTGTGGCATGCTGGCATGGTATGCCTGCGAGCGCGCCTTAGACCGGCTTACAGAGGCCACGGACTTCGAAGACTTGCCGTCGGAAGCCCTGACGGCGTTCACCTCCCTGGCGTGCTGACGTTCTTCCTCTGGTCGTTTGCTTTTGCCACCTTTTTTGCCTTTTCCTTTGCCTGAGCCGCCTGTACCCATAGCTGGTCTAGTTTGGCTTGCGAAAGAACTGCAGGACACTAGGAGTGCTCGACGAGTCCTTGGTTTTCTTAGCTTTGGGCTTAGACTTAGGGGCCGGGGCAGCTTTGCCTTGGGGCCTTGACTGGCTTACTGCCTTGGTGCCCTCCTGCGGCTGAGAAACTCGAGCCGAAGACTGCGGCGTACCTGTCAGAGGTGAACTTGGTTGGGCATGGGAGCTTGCAGGTAGAGGGGAGGTTTTGGGCTTGGCCGGTCGAGCCTCATGGAGAACCTCATGAACATGAGTCTTGCCGGGACGGTTGCTAGAGGGGCCAGTGGGAAGGACAGACCCGCTCTCTAAGACCTGCGCGCCTCCTAGCGAGCCTCGGCTTTCCGAACTTCCACCCTCGGGACGAGAAGGAAGTCTACCCGCGAAGAGCAGAGAGAAACCCTGGGCAGGCGTGGTATGAGCTACCTCCTCATTTCTTTTCCTTGGGCCGGCAGTACCTCGCCTCGTGCAGGCCTTAGCAAGCCTACCCCTGGCTGTAGCCCTCACAGAATAACTGGCATTACACGTGGAGCATTGCCACATTCGCCCTTGGTTGACAATACAATGCGTGGAATGAATGCCCGAGTCAGCTGCAGGCGTGGCCTCTCTGCCCCTACAGGGATGCTGGAGGACGAACTTGATGATGTCCCCTGGATCGGTTTGTTGCGCGTACAAACCGCACTCCTGGCACTTAATGATGAGGTTCTTGGCCGAGGAGGTAAGTACCCAATTGTGTCCTATCTCCGGGTCGCGCTGTTGGGTGGCTGCATGAAGGGCGTGCCTCTTGTTAAAGTCCAGCTTTCTGGTCTGCCTGCTTTTCACCGGGATAGCCTCAAACTTGACTTCCTTGCGTGTGGGAACGGGGTCGTGTTGAAGGATATGGCTGCATCTTCTGCCAAGCCAGGCGCAGCGGCCCCTTGTTGCACGGTCAATAGCCGCTGTTCTAGCGGCTTGCTCATACGAAAAGACCTCCTCGCTTCTGAGCCCACTTAGCCTGTCAGCCTCTTCGTTCGCAAACCATGCCCACACTGCCTGCTGTCCAAACCTGTTGGCGTGGTCTTGGCGGGACATGTGGCCTTTTGTCCAGTTGAGTTGGAGCTTGTCCCGCTCCTCGGCACTGGTAGTCCATATGCCTGGTTTGGGTTGCTTGCCACTGGAGGCTCTGCACCACCGTATGGCGACCTTGCTATCGACCGCCACGTTGACTTGAGCTGGAGCCATGGCTGCGAGCTGGTCGAGAGCAATCGCTTCGCCTTCATTGACTGTCGCTCCTATCTGGAGGGAACCAGTCATGGTGCCCACCACCTCATAGGGCGGGTCTGCATCTTGCTTAATGCGGATAGCCACTACAGCCCAGGAGACCACTCTGAGCCTAGCATCCTCTCCTTTGGGGCCTCCTGATGCATCCGTGCCGTAGAAAAGGCCGCTCACAGGGAGAAACTCACCTGCGAAAACCCCCGAGCATCGAACCTGAAGCTGCTCAGGGGTAAGGGGGGGATGAACTGTAGCCTCTTTTGGGACAAGCCCCCGAACTACAAAGCAGGGCGGGGGATTCGGGTAGTCGATGTCCCAAGCAGGGTCGGGGCCAATGTCATGCTCGGCCCAACGGACGCACTCGATAAGGACATGCCTCAATGTGTTCGGCAGACCACACTTGAGGCATTGCTGGTCACCTCCGTGGTTCGCTCTCCTGACAGCCCCTTGCCAGAGCATCCGGAGGCCGGATGCAACAAGCGGTTTTTTGTCAGAGTTTTTGAGCATTTTCCTTGCAACGGTCCAGTCGATGCCCTTTTCCACGCCCTTGGCTTGTTCTTGGACTGAAATGCGTTCCCACCGATCATCCAAGAGGGCCTCTCTGAGCTGCTGGGCGACGCGGAGCCCCGCATTAGGGGTTCCCCATTCCAGGGAGATGACTCGACCTGGTCTTTCCCAAACATCCATTGAGCTGGCATCAAAGCCCATGTCAAGCAAGTAACATTGCATGGACGCGATTGGCCCCGCTGCTGCACACCACCGCTGCTTACTGTTGACCAGTTTGTTCCACGAAACAGCCCACGTGCGCTTTACGTAGCTTGCGCCGGGAAGGTTTCGCTCCACACATTCCTTCAGCATTGACCAGTGCTCCAGTATCAGCTTAGGGAGCGGATCTCCTGCTCCGAACTCTGCCATATCAAACAGGAGATCTAGTGAACCGAACGGAATTTTGGCATAGTGTCCTCCGGCGATTGCACGGAGCACTTTCATTCTCTTAGGGGCAAAACCCTGACACTGGTGACCGAACGTTGCCGCTGTCAGGACCCCTGTCGTGGCAATTTGCGCTCTTTTTTGCTTGTTGTGAAGCTTGAGCCTTGTCAATTTGCCGCTTCGCCCCTGCGCCTTAGCCAGGCGGGCGTTGCTGCCGGCAACGCGGCGCCTGCGCGCAGCCGCGGAGTCCACACCCAAATCTCTGATCAGACTCAGAATGGGAGGATCATCCGGTCTGAGCAGGGCACGAAGCCTTTTCTCAGCCGCTTTATCGCTACATACGAAGGCTGATTTGGCCTTGGAAAGCACCAGTGCTTCGCTGCCCAGGCTTTCGGCAATGAGCCTATAAGCTCTGACGCTACGGCTTGCAGCACGATCAGCATCGGAGTCAGCAACATCCAGACTGATGTCGTCTAGCCACGTGTTCAGGTTGGAAACCAAACCTGAGGCACTGAGCCGCGCACAAGGCTCGTGGATCGCTAGTTTAGACAGAGTGGGCGCCACCGGGCATCCCGCTATTACTCCTTTTGGGGAGTAAGTAGCGGGTGACTGGGTGGAATCTGCCGTGATCACACGTGCGCCTTTATACACCTGGATGGCGATGTTGAGGAGGGTCGCCGGGTATTCCAACTCGATAGCCGACCTTGCCAATCTTTGGTGAGATATGGTTTCGAAGAAGGTGGCGAGATCCAGGAAACACGTGATGCGGCTTTGCCCTGTCGCTCTCGCGATCTCAGATTGAAACACGCGGTGCACAGCAACACTGAGGCAAGTGCTGTCGGGCTTTGCGGCATCCCACGGCGCCATCCTCTCATACTTGCGGAGCCACGCTGATACCAGGGAGTATCTCACCTGGAGCCAGGCTTTGTAAACAACGTGACAAAGACCTATTGGTCTTTCGATTTCAGGCTTCTTAGGAAGCATAGCGAATTGTACCACTCGCCACTGGCCTGGGGCCTGACCAGAATGCTCTATGTCGTTGAGCATGTTCACCAAAGGCTGGAGCCCTGCCGGGGGCAGCTGCTTGAGCATCCTGTTATTCCAGCCGTCTGGACCAGGCGCCTTCTCAGGAAGGCATTGCAGCCTGGTGCGGAGAGCCTCCACCGTAAGCGGGGGTAACCCTCGCGCCTCGGCAACTGCTTTGTCAAACAGCTCTTGGAGAGGGTCCTCGACGGGGACACTCCGACTTTGCCAGATTTGCTCCCATTGGCAGAGTCGGAGGTAGGGCCGAAGCGCCGGCTCTTTATCCTGAAAAGGCCGCACCAACACTTGCTCGTGAGACCTGATTGCTTTGTACAAAGGCCTCATGCCTTTGACAGTGGCGCCTTCTAGCCAGCTTTGGTACCTGGCCTTTTCCTCCTCCAGGTGGTCACACTGGGCTTTGGCGACTAGCTTCCTGTAAAACTCCTCCTTCGTGGCAGACAAGCTGCTTTTTTCCGTAAAATGGGCGAGCAGCTCAGCCCGAAACTCATCCTGGGTGGCGGCCAGATCTCCCTCGAACTTCAGCTGGTTCAGAACCTTTGTGCAGGTTTGCTGGCTGACCCGGACCCCAGCTTTGGCCACCGCATTTAGCCAAGATTCAACCCGCAGCCAAAGGCCTGCTTGTGTGGAGTACTGGCGCAGAGGCTGACTAGGCTTTCTAGCCCTCTTACAGAACCCAAGGGAGCAGCCGCGTAGGGTCTTTTCTTCAGGGTACATGGCGGCTTGACACCACTGAGAGAAAGCCCCAAACCGGACGGACATAGGGTCCCGAGAAAAATCCTGGCCTAGAACCTCAATTGAAGGTGGTGCCGGGAGGTCCGTTGGGAGCTGACCGTCACGGACAGCATCGCAGACCGGGAAATTAGGGAGCTGAAGGACCTTGTCCAGCTGCCCCGGCATGTTGATCTCAATGCACAGGCTGGCGTGAGGCCTATGCGGGGCACCCCAGTCTAAGGTGACTGACACCATGCCAGCAATGGCATTGCTTGCAATCACGAAGTCAATTTCCGTGCCGCCATGGGTCGTGGGGCTGCCAGTGGTGATGACCTGGCCACCTAGCTCACAGACAAGCGAGGTGTCTGCGAGCTCCCGAGGGCTCACGTTAAAATCCCCCGCCACCAGCCATTGACCCGGGTAACTCTTTAATAATGCCGTGAGCCTTGCGAGAATCTCAGCATTAGGCTCATAATGGACGGGGGTGGAATTCTTGAGGTAGAGGCTGAGGAGGAGGATGCTCACTCCTTTGAGACGGATCTCCGCTGCGCAAAAACCGCACCCTTCCTTGACAAATAACTGGGCCGGCTTGGTTTGGAGGTGTGACCTGGTAAGCACAGCGACTCCGCCTTTCGTGCCGTGTTTGCCCGTGGACATTGCCTCCCCTCCTACCATGAGATAGCCTGCCTTGTGCATCGTGGCCACCGCTGCTTGCAGGGAGGGTCTATTGAGGTGTGTTTCCTGCACCAGGATAACATCATCCCGTTGGGCCTGGAGCCACTGCTGGACCTCCGTTCTCCATTGAGTCACGTTTGAGCATCTGATCCTGAACTTGTGGCTGCCTTTGCTGCTAAGGCTGGCCACGATGTCCTCTACCGCAAGGGTGAGAACCTCGAACCCCCGCGTGGCTCCTTCACTGACCTTGTTGAGGAGCTGGTAGGCGGTCCAGCCTTCTAGTCCGTCCTCGTTGTCCTTCACGCCTTTTTGATCGGCAATCTCGAGCAGCAGGGCCTCTTCCTCTGTTGGAATCGAATTGTGGTGAGTCAAGACTTCGCGCATGCGCTTCCAGAGCCTGAGCCTGGTCTTAACCTGCCTGCGCAAAAGCTGATCCTGAGTCTCACCGCTGGGTAGTTGGCGAGTGCGTCTCCTTCGTGGTTTGCTGTTGGTTTCCGAGCCCACAAACCCCGCGGGGAAAAATCGCGGCCCGGTGATCTTATCGCTACTTCGCTTGTCTGCAAAACTGGTGCGGCGACAAGCGGCCGCTGCAAAATTCTGGCTAGGTGCTGTAGCACCTGTGCTGCCTTCCTCAGGTTCTAGCGGCATGCCAAACGTCAGTTGGACCTGGCGTGTCGCGTGCCCTGAGGGAGCAGTTGAGAAACTCAAAACTGTCCCGGGGTGCCCAGAGGGTATTTCCCGGGGTGGTGCTGGAGCAGCACCTTCCTTGCAAGAAAACGGCGTTGAGGTGCACAAAACTGTCCTGGCTTTGCGAGGGCTCCGCCTGGTTCGCCTGCAGAGTCGCCAGGAGAACTCTGCTTTATCCCCAGGCGCCCCCACTCCCTAAGCCTCAGGGTTAACCCCCCCACGATCGGGGGATCTGGATCTGCGGCTTAGGGGGTTGCTACGGAGCCTCTTAGAGTCCCGGGTCGGCCCGTAACCGTTCCAGTCCTCATCTAGGAGCTCAGTGGGAACTCCTGGCTCAGTCTTCCAGAGGCCCGCTACCTCGACTTCGTTGGTAGCCAACAATTTGTCGAGGTTTCCTTCCTGATCTTTGGTGAGGTCAACGCCTGCCTCCTTCAGCAACTCAGTCAAAGATGTCTTCTGCGGCCGCTGGAAGCCGTCTACCTTTTCCTTGACCTGCGCGTGTGCTTTGATGAGCTGCTCCTCGACTTGCTCGATTTTGCTGGAGATGGCGCTCAGTTGGCCGACTGCATCCTCGAATTGTTTTTTAATCGCTTCTGTTTTGGCTTGCAGTCTGATCTTCTTGGCAATGAGTGATCGGTGGATCCCCGTGACCTTCCTGTATTCCTGCATACAGCGGCTGATCTGCTTTTCCGGCGGATCTTCTTGATCAGCTCCTGGAGGGGGAATCCCAGCCTCCCTGAGGAGCCTTTGCGCCGCAGGCTCTGCATTCTCCCAGAGGGCAGCAGCTGCCTCTTTGTATTGGCTGTCTTGGAAAACCTTAAGGCCCGGAGGGGAATGGAGCATATCCCAGTCCTGGTTCAGGTCTGCTGCGTCCTGTTGGCTGAGGAACTTCCTGGCAGCTTGGTGCTCCGCTGCTCGTTGGGCTTGTCGCTGAGCTCGCTTGCTCTGCTTGGGCCCCCAAAGGCCCCACTCACTCCAATCCTCCTGCAGCTGGACTGTACGCTCTGTCTTCCAAGCCCTGCCGCAATACCAGCACTGCGGGTACCAGGCCTTTTCTGACTTGTAGATCCACCCTATCCCGCAATGCTCACACACCAAGAATTTGGACGGCATGATGGGGAGAAACTCACCCGTCCAGTAACTGGTAGTTGCTCTGCGGGGCGAGGATCTCAGCCCAGATAAACAAAAGCCGCAGCTGCAATGGCGCGGTCTACAAAGCTTGGGTTGCAAAGAGCCTGGAGCCTTGTA